CCCAACACTGGCTTAGGGTTTAGCCCTAAACCAATTCCATTAGTCTGTTTCCAGCTTCTCAAAATTTGCTTTTGTACATCCAGTTCATATATTTCTTGTTCTTGAGGATTTCTTTCTTAAAAAATTTCCTTTGCTATTATTTTAGTAGATTCTGGGAAGGGGTGATGATAAACATGCATATAACCCACTGTCTTGGCCAGATTTTATGCATTTTTTTTTTTTTTTTTTTTTTTTTTTTTAGACAGAGTCTCCCTCTGTTGCCCAGGCTGGAGTACAGTGGTGTAATTTCGGTTCACTGCAACCTCCGTCTCCCAGTTCAAGTGATTCTTCAGCCTCAGCCTCCTGAGTAGCTGGGACTACAGGCGCTCGCCACCACGCCCAGCTAATTTTTTTGTACTTTCAGCAGAGACGGGGTTTCACCATGTTAGCCAGGATGGTCTTGATCTCCTGACCTTGTGATCTACCTGCCTCGGCCTCCCAAAGTGCTGGGTTTACAGGTGTAAGCCACCATACCCGGCCGCCTATGCATTACTTTTACAATGACAATTATTAAGGATTCAAAAAGTAATCTTGCATATTAATAACAAAAGGAAATATAGAGGATAAAAAAATCTTTTTTTTTTTTCCTGAGACAGGATCTGGCTCTGTCACCCAGGCTGGAGTGCAGTGGCGTGATCTTGGCTCACTACAGACAGTTAAACAATCTTATGAGACATTTATATGCTCTTTGGCAGAACACTACCAAGGTTTACTGAGGGATATAAAATAGGACCTTGTTCCTGGGTGGGAAGATTGTGTATGAGCCTGATTTCGGTTTCTGTCAATTGCATTATAGGTTTAATGCAACTGTGACTTAAAAGAGTGTTGTGGTTTTTGTTTTTGTTTTTTTCCCCCAAACTGGATAAACTTATTTTAACAGTAGGGAAGGAACAGGCAGGCAACAACAGAAAAATATTTTTTGTTTTGCTTTGTTTTTTAAGACAGGGTCTTGCTCTGTCACTCAGGCTGGAGTGCAGTTGTGAAATCACAGCTCATTGCAGGCCCAACCTCCTGGCCTCAAGCGATGCTCCTGTCTCAGCCTCCTGAGTAGCTGGGACCATAGGTTTGCACTACCACAACTGGCTAATTTTTTTTTTTTTTTTTTGGTAGAGATGGGGTCTCACTATGTTGCCCATGTTAAGTCTCAAACTCTTGGGCTCAAGTAATCTTCGTGCCTCAGCCTCCTAAAGTGCTGCGATTACAGGCATGAAGCCACTGCGCCCAGCCTAAAAAAGTTTTTGAGGAAGGAGTAATATGTTTGAGATGGAAATCGTCCTAGGCATTCAAACGTGGTAAAGTTACAATCACTAAACCTGTGTGCTGATGTAAGAAAAGACAGATCAGTGAAACAGAATTGACTGACCAGAAACAGATGCTCTTCTATAAAAATAATTTTAAAACCAGGCCTAATGTATCAATAGAGAAGCAGATAAAAATGCAGTAAATGGGATTGGGACAACTGATTAATTACTTCATATAAAGATCAATTTAGTTGTTTATGCCATATATCAAAATAAATTCTCACTACATATAATTTTTTTTAATTAAGAATTTAAATATAAATTTTTTTTTTTTTTTTTTTGAGACAGAGTCTTGCTCTGTCACTCAGGCTGGAGTGCAGTGGTGGGATCTTGGCTCACTGAAACCTCCTCTGGCTTCCAGGTTCAAGCAATTCTCCTGCCTCAGCCTCCTGAGTATCTGGGACTGCAGGCATGCACCACCACACCCGACTAATTTTTGTATTTTTTGTAAAGACGGGGTTTCACCATGTTGGCCAGGCTGGTTTCGAACTCCTGACCTCAGGTGAATCCACCACCTAAGCCTTCCAAAGTGCTGGGATTACAGGCATGAGCCATTGTGTCTGACCAATATTTTCAACTTTTAGTGGAAATTGGGATTTTTGTGCTTAGAAATAAAACAGAAAAGTGACAAAGAACATAATTAGGTTTAGTTACAAAAGTAAAATTACATAGAAAACATTAATAAGCCAACAACAAACTTAGTTTATATCTGCTACAAATACTCCTTTAGTTTGTTGTATCTTACTTAGCATGATGGTACTTCAGTTGGATTTTTTTGCCAGACACAGTGGCTCATACCTATATCCCAGCACTTTGGAAGGCCAAGGTGGGTGGATCACTTGAGCTCAGGAGTTTGAGACCAGCCTGGGCAACATAGCAAAATTCCATGACTACAAAAAAAATACAAAAATTAGCCAGGTGTGGTGGTGCATGCCTGTAGTCCCAGCTATTTGGGAGGCTAAGGCAAGAGAATCACTTGAGCCTGGGAGATCAACACTGCAGTAAGCCATGATCATACTCCCTGGGTGACAGAGCGAGACCCTGTCTAAAAAAAAAGGCAGGGCAAGGTGACTCACGCCTGTAATCCCAGCACTTTGGGAAGCCAAGGCGGGCAGATCATCCAAGGTCAGGAGTTCGAGAGCAGCCTGGCTAACACAGTGAAACCCTGTCTCTACAAAGATAAAAAAACTAGCCTGGCATGATGGCGGGTACATGTAATTCTAGCTACTTGGAGGCTGAGGCGGGAGAATCGCTTGAACCTGGGAGGTGGAGGTTGGAGTGAGCCAAGATCGTGCCATTGCACTCCAGCCTGGGTGACAGAGCAACACTTTGTCTCAAAAAAAAAAACAAAAAAAAAAAAACCATTTTTCTCTTTTTATTATTTTTCTGTATTTTGTTTTTTTATAATAAGCATGAATATTCAACTAATTGAATTAATTAAAAATACAATTTATAGCCGGGTGCGGTGGCTCAAGCCTGTAATCCCAGCACTTTGGGAGGCCGAGATGGGCGGATCACGAGGTCAGGAGATCGAGACCATCCTGGCTAACACGGTGAAACCCCGTCTCTACTAAAAAATACAAAAAACTAGCCAGGCGAGGTGGCGGGCACTTGTAGTCCCAGCTACTCGGGAGGCTGAGGCAGGAGAATGGCGTAAACCCAGGAGGCGGAGCTTGCAGTGAGCTGAGATCCAGCCACTGCATTCCAGCCTGGGCGACAGAGCGAGACTCTGTCTCAAAAAAAAAAAAAAAAAAAAATTATTAGTGAAAAAAACTACAACTCTGACCTACGCAGAGAAGTGAGAAAAGCAAGCAGGAATTAAAGAAAGAGGAAGAGAAGGCCTGAGAAAAACCCAAATCTCTCAGAAAAGGCCATTTAAGGAAATACGTAGGAAATCAAAGTTCAAGGCTGTCTTGCTTCATTTGGATTATGGAGCCGCTCTCCATCTGCTCCAAAACCAACACAGTGGTTAAGATGGTGTGGTGGTTTACCAGGGCACAGGCAGCGAGAGTGTCTGTCCCTGCAGGGAAGAGTAATTTATCCCTGGCATTGTTTAGGGTTGCCAGTGCAAGTGATTAGAAAAAATAAACCCACCTGGCCAAAGATTAGTTTCCTAAAACATTTTCTACAGACAATGCACCCCCTTCCTGCCTGGGCCTGGGAGAAACTCCCCTCGCCCCACTGATCTGGAGACAGATAAACCTAGGCTCAAATTTCCCTGATGCCCTTTCTGAATAAAACAGAAGATCTATTAGTGCAACACATCCCATCGCTAGGTTCAAAAGTAGGTCAAGGCGAACACTATGGTCAACTCAATAGGCGAGGCCCTGTAGCTAGAGGTTAGGAGAGAAAGCTCTGCAGCTCACCATCCCTGTTATTGTGTTTGTTTGTTTGTTTGAGACAGAGTCTCACTTTGTCACCCAGGCTGGTGTGCAGTGACTCGATCTCAGCTCACCTCAACCTCCGCCTCCCAGGTTCAAGTGATTCTCCTGCCTCAGCCTCCCGAGTAGCTAGGATTACAGGCATGCGCCACCATGCCTGGCTAATTTTTGTATGTTTAGTAGAGACGGAGTTTCGCCATGTTGGCCAGGCTAGTCTCGAACTCCTGACCTCAAGTGATCCACCCACCTTGGCTTCCCAAAGTGCTGGGATTACAGGCGTCAGCCACCACATCCCGCCCTCACCATCCCTTCCAAATCCCATCTGCACCACTAGTGTGACGTTGGGCAGCTATATAGGCTCTGTTAGCCTCAGTTTCCCTATCTGTAAACTGAAGAGAAGAGCAGTTCCTCTTGCCATTGAGGAGTCTTGGTGAGGGTTCACTAGAGCAATGCACATGAAGCAATTTGCCAGGGCCATGCCATGATGCCTCAGTGAATGAGGGCTGCTGCTCTTGCTTCTGCAGACACGTCCCTTAGTGTTGGGAAGGACAGAGTAGCAAGACCAGAGTGGAGGACAGAGAGGGCACGGCTGGAAGAACCCAAGGGCTTGTCAGGGAGAGTGGGGGCTGCAGGGGCTGGGGAGAAAGTGAGGGTAAAGAATGGATGTAGGAGAAGAGGGGTATGACAGGTGAGGGAAGAGGTGAGACAGGTCAGGGAGGAGCTGAAGGACACTTCTGGGAAGCAGAGGGGAAGAAGGAAGTGGGCAGATGGGAACCCAGGTTGACCCAGGGACTGCAGAGCTCCCAGGGCCAGTCACTGGGCACCTGCTGGGGGTTCCTGGATGAGCTCATGACTGTGAGAGAGGCAAGATATGGGGCCCACCCTGAGGCACTAACGGGGACTCCAGGCAGAGACACATGACAAAGAGCGGGTGAGTCACACCCTGGAGAGATCAAATCTGCCTGGAGGTCATGGGGAGAGGCCAGACTGGAGCCCCAGTTTGGAGAAAGAATGAAGGATAATTAGAGGGTCTGGCAGATGCTGAGGCCTGAGGAGTGGGGGCGGGGCTGGATCTGGAGGGGACAGCAGATCAGATGTGGAGACAAGGGGAAGAGAAAAGGGGAGAGGTGGCAAAGGCCTGAGGAAGTGTTAGGGGCCAAAGAGAGAACTTAGGGGTCATCAGAAGAAGTGGGGTCTGAGGTGCCAGGGATGACGTCGCCAGTGATAATAAAAGCGTCACTGCGGTGGGCAAGGCAGGTGCCGGGGCAGCTGGACTCACCCTGGGTGATGGTGAGTTTGGTCCCCTCGATGGACTGCCACCGCTTCCTCCCTGATCTCCGTGTGTCCAGCTCGACTCGGCAGAAATACACAGACTGGTCCTCCTTCCGCAGGTTCGAGATCCTGAGGAGCCCGCGGTCCTGACCCTCTGTCCAGTTCAGAAAGAGCCGGTTCGAGTAATCCTTGTGAATGAAAGCTGGCCTTGTTCTGTAGAAGAACTCCCATAGGTCGCCCCGTCTCAGGGGATACATTCATGTTGGGATCTGTGGCTAACTCCCAGGGGTGATAGAAGGAGAAGGAATTTTCGGAGCCACCCATAGGGGCTGAGAGGTGTTTTGGTTGAGTGACCCCATAACGGCCGCTTGGACCAGATCCACGTGGAGCCACACAAGTGGGAGGGAGAGAGTGGGGAGAGACCTTGAAGCCACCATAGGGACACAAAGGTGACCCCAGACCCTCCCGAACCTTCGGCCACAGGCAGTCGTGTGACAGGTGGTTGGACAGACTTGTGGCCTGGGTCTCCCACTCTTCAGGCATGGGAGAGAGGATGGGGGCACCTGCCCTGGGGATCCGCCCTTGTTTCTTGGTGGTGGGAGACTGGGCCCTCCCCCAAGATGTCCCACCTTGTCTGGGTTGGCCCCTCCTGTGGTTTGGGCAAACCCACATCTGAGCGATCCTGGGCACTCACCACGCTGCAGAAATGCTGGCGGCAGCAGCAGGGGCAGCAGGGGCAGCAGCAGGAACCAGCCCATGGCCTTGCTCTCCTCCAGGGGATGGGGAGACCAGCAGAGCCGTCCAGGCAGAGAGGGCCTGTGGTGGGGCCGCCTTGGGGGTGAGGTGGTGGGGACGCCGGGCTCCAGGCTCCGCAGGAGTTGCGGGGGGCCGGGAGCCTTCCTCAAACCCGTGCACCTCCAGGATGACCAGCACTTCCTTTATCCATCTGGCTTCTTTTCTCTTATTCAAAGGGCCTCCCTTGTGAGTCAGTGTCAAGTCAGCCCTGCCCAAGGGCTGTGCCCGTCCTCCTGCTGAGGCAGGCCTGACCGCCCGGCTGGCTGGGCCCCTCCCACCTGGATCCCTGCAGCCCCACCTCCTCCAGCTTCACTTCTCATCCTTCCCTCTCCTGCCCAGAACCTTTGAGCTCTTTCAGAAAGGAAAGGCAGGCCTGATTCTCTGCCCTTCCATGTCCCAGATTCAGTCCTCAGGGAGGAGGATGAGGGAGCTGGAGTGGGTGACAGCGGCTCAGACCCCAGCCCAAGCACCAGAGTCCCCAGCTTGTCCTCTGTCCCTCTCCCTCCCTGGCAGGGACTCCCATGCAGTCCCTAGGCACCACCAGGGCCCAACTAGCCTCTTCCATGCAGGCCCGCTCCTTGGTGCAGGGACATGACCTTGCTCAAGGGGTGTGAGCTGATGGTCCCCTACACAGACTGGTCCTTCTGAGCCACCCCTTCACCTCCTAGACGTGAGACTGGATCTGCAGGCTTCCTCTGCCCTCCCCATCCTATGCCAGGCAGGGACAGGGCTCTAAGAAGCACTGCCCGAGGCACGTGACTTGCAGTGGCAGGTTAGGACAGCACTCCTCTACCCAGATGTCTGGGCCTGGCTGAGGCAGATCTCTGGGCCTCAACTTCTGAGTGCAGGACAGAGGCCATCCTTCGCCACAGCACCTCAGGTCATTCCTCCACACACCTGGGCCAGCAGGCTGTGATCCAGAAGCTTCCTGGACACAGAAGGAAGTGAAGGCTCAAACAACAGTGGGCACCCCGCACACAGTCCTGGACCCATCTCTAACGGGTTTCTGCTGGCCTTTGCCTGGGGTGAGTCGCTGGAGCGAGAGAGCTTTGGTGGCCCACAGGGCTCCCTCCGTGGGAAGGCTCTGCCCTCCCTCTCCCGGGGTGAGGTGGCCCCTCCAGCTAAGGGGCCGTGGGGGCAGGAAGACAGGATTTCGTCAGAGGAAATGGCATGTTCTTGGAGCTGAAGCAGGCAGGGATTGAGGCCTCCTTCTCTTCTCAGTCTCTTCCCTGGCCCCAGTAGGCTCCTCTGTGCTTCCCAGGGCCAGTCCAGGTCAGCCTCCCTCCCTCCCTTCACAGGCGGGAGGAAACATGTTCCCCGGTGTCAGGAAACCCCTCCGTGTGAGCCAGGCCCTCAACACCTCATTCTCCCCATTCAACCCACAGGAAAATGGAGGCACGGGGCTTTAGGCTGAACTAGTCCCAGCTGGAAAGATGAGGCTGGAAGGAAGAACAAGGGGGCCCCTGGCTGTCTAGGCAGAACCTCGAGAGGAGTGGTCCACCCTGCCTGAAGACCTGGCTGAAGGGTCACCTGTGAGCCGTCCAAGGTGGGGCCACATAGGGCTTGCAGCCAACAGCCTCTGGGTAGCTCTGGAGGGCACATGCTTCCCAGGGTCTTCTGCCCCAGTGCTGCCACGTGTGATCTCCTTAGATGCAAGGTCCACACTGATGTCACTTTCCAGGCCCTGGACCCAGCTGAACCGCCGATGGGAATTCCTTTTGTGTCAGGATTTCTGTCTGGGATGATGTGAGGTCTCTCCTGGGTTTGTTCATCCTCCCTCCCCCAACAGCAGTGACAGGACCTGGGACACAGCCTGGGGCTGGCTCTCTCAGACAGGGCTCTGGGGAGGAGGAGGAGGGAGCCTGGAGGCGTGATTCAGTGTGGGCAGAGCCTAAATGCAGCCCCTTAGCGCAGGTGCCCATGGGAGGCGTGGAAGTCGTGTGTGGGGAGCAGGGGGGCAGGAGGCGAGTACCTGCGGCAGTGAGAACCACTGCTTGGCTGTCCCCACATTCCCTAACCAAAGTGTCCTCCTGTCCTCACTGGCCACATCCATCCCTGCCCCAGCCCCTTGCTCCTCCTTGGCACCCACCCTGTTCCTGCTTTCCTCTGATCCCAATAGATGTGGAGTTCACAAGCCAATTGTAACATTCTTACAGTAACAAAGGACCTAGAATAGCCAACAGGCCAACTTGCAAATGAAGAATGAAGGTGGAAGATTTATAATACCTGACTTCAGAGTTGCTGTGAAAGCTACTGTAATCAGGCTGTATTATCCTCAGAAAATTGCTAGAGTGTCCACACACTGGAGTGTAGGGACCCAATCACCACTTCTCGCTCCTGGGTTGGGCGATTTGCTGACCTCAGACTCCCGAGTAGTGAAAGCCACAGGCACACACCTACCAGATACGGATAATTTTTTTTTCTTTTTTTGTGTTTTTGAGACGTGGGAGTCTTACTATGTTGTCTAGGCTAAGTCTCGAGCTCCTGAGCTCAACAATCCTCCTGCCTTGGCCTCCCTCAGTGCTGGGATGACAGGTGTGAGCCACCTCACCCAGCCCCCACTGTGTGCTGATATTCTGGCATCTTGGACCTCCAGGGGCAGAAGAGGTCTGCCCTGCCAGAGCCAACCAGTTGTTAAAGCTAGCAAATGACCCCTCTGAGAGTGTCCCTTTCTTTTTTTTTTCCGAAATGGAGTCTCGCTCTGTTGCCAGGCCGGAGTGCAGTGGCACAGCCTCAGCTCACTGCAACCTCCCAGGTTCAAGCGATTCTCCTGCCTCAGCCTCCCAAGTTGCTGGGATTACAATTTACACACCACCATGCCCAGCTAATTTTTGTATTTTTTTTTTTTTTTTTTTTTGAGATGGAGTCTCGCTCTGGCGCCCAGGCTGGAGTGCTGTGGCCGGATCTCAGCTCACTGCAAGCTCCGCTCCTGGTTCCCGCCATTCTCCTGCCTCAGCCTCCCGAGTAGCTGGGACTACAGGCGCCCGCACCTCGCCCGGCTAGTTTTTTGTATTTTTAGTAGAGACGGGGTTTCACGTGTTAGCCAGGATGGTCTCGATCTCCTGACCTCGTGATCCGCCCGTCACCGACCTCCCAAAGTGCTGGGATTACAGGCATGAGCCACCGCGCCCGGCCAATTTTTGTATTTTTAATAGTGATGGGGATTCACCATGTTGGCCAAGATGGTCCCTGACCTTGTGATCTGCCCACCTCGGCCTCCCAAAGTGCTGGGATTACAGGCTTGGGCCGCTGCGCTGGCTAGTGTGCCTTTCATATGCAAACCAGCTAATCCAGGGCCCCAGCACTGAACCAGCTCTTCTAGCTGCCTCTCACCTTTCAGGAGGCAGTATTTCTCTGCCTTCATCACCCTGGGCCAGGCACCAAATAACAGAAGTGACAGCCCTAATCCCCAGAGCCTGCTAACATTATTCTAACTAGCCAATCCTAAACCTGCATACCCTTCCTTGCCTTTTCCATGGAAAGCATAACAAAAGAGTCTCACCCCCATTTCCCCTGGCTATCTGCCCCCGAGGGACTCTGGTGCTTTCCCAAGTGGCCTGCATGCCTTTGTATCTCTCATTTCACCAGGGTCTGGGAGGATACACTGCTTCCCCTCATGACCCTCATTTCCATGGCCATACAGTGGAAAGAATGGCAGGTATGCATTTTGTTTATTATTTTATTTATTATCATTATTATTATCATTATTGTTTGAGACGGGGGTCTCACTCTGTCACCTGTCAGACCGCAATGCAGTGGCACAATCTCGGCTCACTGCAACCTCTGCCTCCGGGTTCAAGCTATTCTTCTGCCTCAGCCTCCCGAGTAGCTGGGACTACAGGTGCCCACCACCTATGCCCAACTAATTTTTGTAGTTTTAGCAGAGATGGGGTTTTGCCATGTTGCCCAGGCTGGTCTCAAACTCTTTTTTTTTTTTTTTTTTTTTTGGTGAGTCTTGCTCTGTTGTGCAGGCTGGAGTGCAGTGGCGCAATCTCGGCTCACTGCACGCTCTGCCTCCTGGGTTCACGCCATTCTCCTGCCTCAGCCTCCCAAGGAACTGGGACTACAGGCGTCCGTCACCGCACCCGGCTAATTTTTTGTATTTTTAGTAGAGACGGAGTTTCACTATGTTGGTCAGGATGGTCTCGATCTCCTGACCTTGTGATCCACCCGTCTCGGCCTCCCAAAGTGCTGGGATTACAGGCGTGAGCCACCGCACCTGGCCAGGTCTCGAACTCTTTACCTGAGGTGATGCACCTGCCTAGGCCTCCCAAAGTGCTGAGGTGCAGGTGTGAGCCACCACACCCGCCAGCAGGTGCATTTTATTTATTTTATTTTTTTTGAGATAGAGTCTCGCTCTGTCACCCAGGCTGGAGTGCAATGGCTCAATCTCGCTCTGCAAACTCCACCTCCCAAGTTCAAGCGATTCTCCTGCCTCAGCCTCTTGAGTAGCTGGGATTACAGGCACGTGTCACCATGCCCGGCTACTTTTTTGTATTTTTAGTAGAGGTAGGGTTTAGCTGTGTTCCAGGCTGGTCTCAACCTCCTGACCTCATGATCTGCCTGCCTCAGCCTCCCAAAGTGCTGGGATTACAGGTGTGAGACAACGCACCCGGCCCAGCAGATGCATTTTAAAAGAGCTTTTAACTCTGGACAATCCCAGGAGGCAGGCAGCATCTCTGTTATAGTCCTCAATTCATACAGAGAGAAACAGAGGCCTGAGGGAGTTCTCAGCCTGGCCTGAGGTCACATGGCCCATGAACATCCACTGTGGCATCAGGACCGAGCCGAAACCCATGCGGCCGACCACTTCCCCATTCAGTGACATCAGCCGGCAGTCTCTGGGCCTCTGTGACAGCACGCTTCCCTTTTCTCTGTTGTCTTCCTTCTGCACAGGGAGGTGCTGAGGCTGGGGCACTGGCTGGTGTCGCTTTGGAGTCACTTGTCACCCAGTGCAGTGTGCTGGGCAGTCAGTGCTGACCAAATGTGTATGGGAGGGCGTGGAGGTATCTTCAAGAGTGGGGATCAGGCAGCGATCATTT